AACCACTTTGAATGCTTTCTCTTAAGATATTAGGCTTTTTTATTTTTTCCTAGCTGGGGTTGATTTGTAGACATGTTATTGTCACAAGTTAAAGCTATGAAATTACTCAAACAAGGGTGAGATAAGGCTTAGCTAAGTCTCCTTTATAAGAACACAATTTAATCTTTACAAGTAAACAGGAGTCCATATCAAGGACAGCTAAATAAATCACACAAATAAGACTGAGGAAATTTCCTTAGCAAAACACAAATTTACATCTGTTAATAATACAGAACAAAGTCAAAGTACTTTTCAGGAAACTCTTCATAAAAAGGAGACCATGCTGTAGGTTGTACTTATAAAACACACAATCTTACTGTAATTATTTTAATAATCAGCATGTTTTCAGCACACTTTTGGAATGCTCTGAGTTAACATTATGTCATAACACAGAAAACATTCGATAGTATTTTCTTAAACTGAATATAAAATATTCTTGAATGTTTTGTATGTGCCAACTCAGTAGGTTCTATGCAGGAAAGAGTTCCTCTCTGTATAGTGTCATGGTACCCTTTTGGTACACTATGTGTTGTGTGCTAGAGCTAGCTTTTAGTATCATTCTAGAACCAATCATTAGTATCTCTTTCCAACTCTCCATTCACTGATGTCACATTGGGAGCCTGAAATTGTTCACAGAGTATATTAATACCACAGAAGTTGGTAAATGTTTCTAATCAGTTCTTTCATAGGTTTTTGTGTGTTTGATTGTTTTTTAAAGAGATGGTTGTTAAATATTAACCAGTCCACACTGTCAGATGAAAAATGTTTGCTTTGGCATGACTACTTGTATCGCATTATAATATATGCCTATTTGAGGGCAGCCTCTCCTGGCTTTGAGATGACCCATTCAAATTTATTTTTATGTAGGTAATAAACAAGCTTCGTAAATCATAAAACCATACACAAACAAATAGGATGCAATGTGGAACTTGGCTTCAGGTTAATTTACTGTCGGTCAGTTTGTAAAAATCTCTTAAACAGAATTGAACTGAATTGAATTTGATTATAATACATATTTGCCTCGGACATCCCAGCAATGGATAAATATCCTTTCTCTCAGTGCTACTCAGGAGGAGCCAGTACAGAGACACATTTTAAAAGATGTTTTGCCATAAATAAGTCATTATACATTTTCATTGAAAAAATGGTATCAAAAGGAACTAAAAACTACTAATTGGTTTGCAAATGAGGAATATTAGCTACATTCAACTTTTAAAAAATTAAGTTTTATGGAATGAAGTAACACCAATGAAAATTTCTTAGGTGGATGTTATCTAACCTTAAGCATTCCTTATTTCAGGGGACAATGTTGTTTTGCTTTTTAAGGGAATTATTTTGCTGACAACACCTCACACCCAATCTCTCTCTCTCTCTCTCTCTCTCTCTCTCTCTCTCACACACACACACACACACACACACACACAATGTAGATACAGAGAATTAGAAGAAAAATTAGAAGGCAAAGATCACAAAGAGGAATTCTCTATTTGCATAATCATCAGCCTCTCAACTTGTTTGAGCTTAAAGCTCATAAATAAATAAATAAAGAGATAGATAGTTAGATAGATAAAATATATTGGACTGGTGACTCAAGCTGGTAGAGTTGAACTCAGTGGCAGAGATTACTGCCCCCCCCCCCAATCCCAGGGAGGAGGGATGTATATTAAAAACACCTGGGAAACTTTATCTTTGATTTGGAGAGTTTGAAAAATTTCTGCCCACCTAATGCTATGCATTCTTATCTTAGTGAGTCATTATAACTTGAAGAACTTTCCTTCCCTGGAAGAATAGAGGGAGGGAACAAATCACATTGCATTGTAGAATAAGTTGGCCTCCTATATTTGCTCTAGCTCTAACATTCTATGACAACCGCTTTTAGAGGAAAATTAATTTCTATTCATAGATTACTATTCCCTCAGCAGTCTTTACAAATCAATTCAGGAAGCATGTAGCTATGCTAGTCTTGAAAATAAATCACTCTGCAAGTGAAATCAGATAGCAGAAAAACGAGTATAATTATTTATATGGGAATGCATCTGAAGTTTAGATATATTGATATACAGCAATTCCATCAATAAATTTTAAACCTATAAATTCTTCTGCAAATGCACATTGAACTTCCTATTTACATTTTTAAAGCATCATTATAACATGGGTTTGGGTATTAAAATCATTTTGTCCCTGAGGAACTGCATTAACTTACTCTTTTGTGTCAGTATTCCCAGTATTATCATAAGTGAATATTTAGAAAGTTTATATTGTAAGATTACTTTATCCTAGCTATTTACAAAATTAAATCTGCTATGCAAATGTTAATAAGGAAAGGTGTCTATAATAAAGAATGCAAAAAAAAATGTAACTTTTCAAAAGTTTCTTTTAGTAATTGCCTTTTCTTTCCAGAATAGTTTACCACATTCACACACACTGGTGTGTCAATAAACATTTAACAATTGGTTCTCCAGGAGAAAAAAAAACATGCCCTGATTTGTAAGGCAAATCCATGTTGTAAAAATCTCTCCTGGCTGGTTTCAAATACCAACATAAGGTTAATAAACTCACATTTGGGAAAAGATGTACACAATTGGTTTTCATGGGCTGATAGTTAGCTCTAGCATACAGCTAATGTGCAATGTCTATATGATGCAAATATATACAAACATACATTAATATGTCAGTGCAGTGAACATATGATTTATCAAAATTGTCATGAATATTTTCCCTGTAAAGTCATTTAATGAAAGATGATTGTGGATTCACTCATTTGAACTATAAATTGATTAAGTCAATCAACTGTAGTTTAAGAGTATATGTGTAAAGTAGATAATCTTTGTTACAGGTAGTTGGAATGGTTACAAAAATAGCTTAGTCTTCTCACTTAGGTGGAAGTTAAATGGAATATTTTAGAATTAGTCATTAACAGACTAGAGTAAGTGGGACTTCAAAAAAATTGTGAATTTATATTTCCCAAAATGAATAAATCAAATGACTACCTCAAAGCAGCAAACCTTTATCTGAAGCATGGACAAATATCAATAGCAGTAACTCATGCACTTGATAGTTGACCAATTTATCTTCATGGAGACTAACAGGGTGAGTTAATATTTATAATCATAATATAAAAATATACTGACTTGCATACTGTATTAAAGCTATGATACTATCTTGAATTCTGTCTTTCGAATAGCATCAAGAAACATGCTAAGAGAGGAACTGTTTTAGTCAGCTTTTTCACTGCTGTGAACAAAGGGACCAACCAGTACAATTATAGAGGAGGAAGAGTTTATTTGAGGGCTCATGGTTTAAAAGGTCTCATTCCATAAAACACTGGCTCCATTTCTCAGGGCTGGAGAGGAGACTAAACATGGCAGAAGAGTGTGGCAGAGGAAAGCAGCTCACATCATGGTGATCAAGAAGCAGAAAGAAAAACTCCACTCTCCAGATACGAATATATACCCAAAGCCATGCCCCAATTCCCACCTCCTCCAGGGACACCCTACCACTTCAATTGCCACTCAATTAATCCTTGTTAGGATTAATTCACTCATTTGGGTTAAGGCTCCTGTAACCCAATCATTTCTCCTCTGAGCCTTCTGGCATTGTCTCACACATGAGCTTTTGGGGGACACCTCACATCCAAACCATATTAGGAACAGAGTGGCAACTTCAAATTAATAAATATTTATTGAGATGCTATTATTTCATGGCACAATACTCAGACACTATCCAGTACACAAAGGTGAATTAATTCAATTTTCTCAATAAACGTATGTTCAATATGGGGTAATAAGATGAGAGGTCTGATATTTAAAAGACAAGGACTAGTAGGAAACACAGGATGGAAAGATCCTATTCCTTGGGAAGATGTAAAGTCACCTGGGACAAGGTAGTTATGGGATGACTATTGGGAAATATGTTCTAGTCATTACGGGAATTCTTAAGGAAGAGTTTTTTTGCCTTAGCAAGTGGCATCTTCAGGCATCTTGGAGTTCTTTAATCAGAAGCAAATAGAACATGCAGGAAAGTTAGAAATCGTTTTTGCAGATTTATATTAATCCAGGTGCTAGAATGAATGATTAGGTAGGGCAAGGTGGGGGACAACTCTGATGACTCCCTTTGCCCTCCTTGAGGAAAAGAGACGAGATCGAATTGGATATTGCCTCAAGGCTTCGGATGAGAACACCATGAAATAGGTGCAAATTAGCTATTTAAAAAGGCATATGATATAATTTATTAATTCATCTAATATCTTTTTACATCTGTTTATTAAAGTTAGAACAACAAATAAGTTTTCCTCTGAATTAGTCATTTGCAGCCTACATCCTTGCTGGAATGTGGAATATATACATAAATATGTATATATGTTATATCTAGCTATAGATAGATATGTTATATTGATATATATTTATATATAAAACATACATTAGGAGACAAACACACACACATACACACACACACATATATATTTTATATATATATATATATATATATATATATATATATATATATATATGATTATATAGATAGCAAACTAAAGGTTTTCCAAGCTGGCTTTAATTATAGCCCATTTTGTTAGATGCTTCAACTATTGTCTTACCAAGTTTGGGGAGAGTCCAAACATTGAGAATGAATGAGGAAAGAGGTCTTGACTGGAGGGATTCCTGACCTCTGCACTGAATTGGTTATCAAAAGAGCTTTCTGGCTCTGTTTCCTAGGAATATTTACCCTTGAACCAGTCCATGTTAACAAAAATTCTTCAGGATTCATTACTATCTTAAAATCAATATAATCCAGAATGAATATCACACCAAATATCAAAATAAATTAAATTAAAATCATAGAGAAACAGTCCTGCAATATTTGCTCATATACTCTGTAAGCAATGCTATTGATTGCAACCCCTTCTTAGAACCAAAGAAAGCACCCAAGTACTGGTTAATTGGTTATTCACTGAGAGTGAGTACCTGAAGGAGAAGGTTGTCCTTTTACTACGCCATTTTTAGTCTTTTCTTCTGAACTCATCACTTCCTTGTAAATAAGTTCTGTAAGAAACATTTATTCATGTTATTACAGTATAAAAACCAAAATTTTCCTTAATCATAGAAATTTATTAAGTTAATTACAAATAATATTTTCGTGGGGTTGAACAAATTAGAAAAATTAATTGGGATCCCTTTATTCCTCCATTATTTTTTGTGGGGGTGAGGGTTAGGCAATAGTTTGTTGTTGTTGTTGTACATGACAGTAGAATCTAGCTTGGCAGATTAGATAGAGTATAACTTATTCTACTTAGACTACTACTCTTGAGGTTGTACATGATGTGGAGTTACCTTGGTCATGTATACAAATACAAGGCTAGGAAAGTTATGACTGATTAATTCTCCTGTCTTTCCTATTCCCCTCCGCCTCCACTTCCCTTTGTTTCCCTTTGTCTAATCCAATGGATTTCTATTATTCCCCTTCCAACCTCCCTTGTTTTGAGTTATCATCCACAAATCAGAGAGAACATCGACCTTTGGTTTTTTTGGGATTGGCTTATTTCACTTAGCATGATATTCTCCAGTTCTATCCACTTACCAACAAATGCCATAATTTCACTCTTCTTTGTGGCTGTTACTCCTCTATTTCTATATTTCTGGGCAAATGGCATAAAGCCTGGCAAAAAGCATGTACTCAAACCAGTTGATTCAATAAAAATATGTAAAATACACATGTTTTCTGATGTCTTTGGGTGGGATGAGTGGGTACTCCTGATACATTCTACGGTTACCTATGAGCATTTTAATGGCTCTGTGTTTGAACACCTACTTTTCTTTTATATTTACACCTTAAGAAATGCACAAATTCTCATAATATTAAATTATTACCGATCCTTACAACTTCTATCTTGTACTTCAAACTTTCTTCCAGACTCATATCTTAGATTTGTAAATATAAACATGTCTAAAATCCAACATACAAAATATTTATTTTTTTCATTTCCAAACTGGCATCCATTTGGGGGTTTCTCATTGCTATAGTTAAATTTGGATATCTTCATTTCTTTTTTCTTTTTTATTTTTTGTACTAGAGATTGAATCTAGAGGTGCTTGACCACTGAGCCACATCCTAGTTCTTTTTATTTTTCTTTTGAGACACTATGTCACTTAGGACCTTCTGAAGTTACTGAGGCTGGTCTCAAACTTGTGATCGTCCTGCCTTAGCCTTCTGAGTCATTGGCATTACAGTCATGCACCACCATACCTGGTTTCATTTTGTTTTCTCTCCTTTGCTAAAAATCACTCAGCCCTACTCATTCTTGGTTGTAATGCCATACAATTAGACAATCATCATCCTTTATGATTGTATTTCTTTCTCTAATTTAGTCTATGTCCTCTTCAAATAATGTCTATGTCCTATCACTTAGTTATTCATGAAACCCCAATAATGTCTTCCTGTTCTTACTTAGATTAAAGCAAGCCTTTCCCATCTACTATCTGGTGTCATACTACTGATTCACATTATGTATAAGCTCATTTTTCCATATTCACCAGCATGAACCCTTCACTAGTAGAATATCTTAACTCTCTTTATAACATTGTTGTTTGTTTCTATTATTTGTTTTTCTCTTATATATCTCATTTAGTATTTTCCTTTTCCCATTTTATGTTTATTAATACCTTCGAAAAAGCTCAAAATTTCCTTCACTTCAGATATCCCCTGAATGTTTTTCCCATTTTTATCTGATCTTTTGATATAATTTGCATTTGGTTTTTCTCATATTTATTCTGCTTTATAGTTATTCAAATTAATTTAACAATTCTTTACATGTTTGCCGTGTTTTGTGGTTTCATTTCTTTTTTTTATTGCTATATATTATGTTGTGTAGATATGACAATTTTTTTACTCATTTCTTTATCTAGTGTCCAGTTGACAATCATTTGAGTTGTTTCCAATTTCTAGTTATTACTACTAAAGCTGCATTAATGTTTGAATGCTCTTTTTATAAATGTACTTTTTCATTTCCTTGGGTTAACTAGTAATGGGATTGCTAGGTTTTAATAGTGTGTGTTTACATATGAAACTGCCACACTTTTTCCAAAGTGATTGTATCATTGAGTATTTTCACTGACAGTGTTCAAGATTTCCATTTGTTGCATCCACATCTTCATCCATCCTTGCTACAGTCAGCTTTTGGAGTTGGTATAGAGTGGTATATCATTGTCTCAATTTGTATTTATTTATTAATGATGTTGAACAACTTTCATGTGCTTATTTCTTGTTAATTTTTTTGTTTAATGGAATTGTGGTTTCATTTCAACCTCAGTATAATCTTGAAGGTTCAATATGATTTTTGAGAAGTTTTGCTTTTAAAAAAAGGATTAATGTATTCACTAATGTATTTATTAAGTAGAAGTAAGCCACTGTTTTCTATTTAAACACTCATGTTCTATAAATACAGTGAATTAATTCATATGTTAACTATTTTTACTTTGTAAAGTCTAAAAACATCTAAAACTTAATATTAATTCTATGTTTTATAAGATAATTATATATAAGACATGGAAAGTTTAACTTTGAAATTTTGAATTCTACCATGATAAACTCTTCAGTAGTTAATACTATTTTAAAAGTTGTCAAAATAAATTAATTATTAAGTAAATGAGATATTGCTATTAAGATGAAAAAATGGATGAAGTTTTAGGAACTCTGAGTGGTCTAAGATAGCAGTGTAAAAATCCTCTTTTACCAAACTGCTTTACAAGAAAAAATCTTGATATTTTTTGATATCAAAAAATATAAAAGATATAAAAGGATTTAGGAAGGATCAGCTGCTTTCTTTATTCTGTTTCACTAAAACAAAAAAATACCCATTCAGCAGTACTAGAATCACCTTTCCATTCTTCAATGGTGTGCTCTCTTTCATCCAGCTGTTTGTCATATATCTGAGGTGGAGGCTGCAGAATGAAAACAAAGAATAAATTTTGAAAAATCATACAAACGTAACTAAAGTCTTACATGTAGGACAATATCTTGTTATTCAGCAATTTTGGTGGTGATCTCAATATAATTTAAGCTATGGGATATGTACCATAGTTCAGAAGTTAAAATCTTCCAAAACTTATGGAAGATTTGCTTTTCTTACAATATTTGCTGCTGATTAAATAAGGCAATGGAACCCAAATCCTGAAACTCACTTCCCAACAATTTCTGATTCAGAATCCACCCCTCAGCAACTAATGGCTGAATATATATATATATAAAGCAAATAAAACATTTGATTTAAAGGACCCATTAATTGCTATTTCCTCTCCTATAACAGACCCCTGCTAAAACTCTCCCAGAATGATAAGATCTTACTCCATTTTTAGATTTTCTCTGAAGAAAGGCTTATAATGTCTCTAAATAGACCATGGTTCTGGTCCCCAATATAAAGAAATATCTAGATTAAATTAACTTTTGTTCTTGGAACATAAGCTACCTTTGTATGTAGCTGTATGCCCCATTTTTACATGGTTTTAATATCTCCTCACCTGAGGCATATAAAGCTGCAAGTTGGTCCCTGAGTGGTCCCTGTGTTAGTCATCTCTGGGAGGAATGATGTGACAGAGCCTCAGTCTAACTTATAAAGTCATCTAGCTCCTCTTTCTATGTGGAGTTCAGATATAAAAAAGGAGAGACTTTCATAAACCTACATGCCGTCAAGAAAGGAGGTTATCAAACTCCCAAATCTCTTTTTCCTAATATTTGACTTAGAGAGATCTAACATGGTAGCTGGGTAGCTCCAAAGTAGACTAATAGACATAGAAAGAAAAACAAAATCTCTTGGAAAAGCATATCACTCTGAGGTAGAGAAAGATGGGCCAGAAGATCTGTATCAGCTGACATTGGAATGCCTGCAGAAAAGAGCTATAAAATTCTGGCACATGAGATGGGGAGCCTAGAATTCATCCTTGTTCAACATTCCCAAAGCAATAGGTTTTGCAAGAAACTGAGAGTTGCTTAATAAAAGTGACTCACACCTGTTAGAAAATGAACCCCTCTAAAATGGCTATTGTAAAAAAAAAAAGGCTTTGGATTAGACTTTTAGAGACACCCTCTGGCTTCTGTAAAAGGTTTTCTAGCTCATGAACAGCACCCAGCGCCACAGTATCCCCTCTTTACTGCATTCAGAATCTCAGGTAGCATGACTAATGATAGAACCCAAATGTTCATCATAGCTCTGGCAGACTGGGGCAGCTCACATCCTGAAGATGTAGCTGGACGTGAAACTAGAAGACTATGACCAATTGTGGTGAGGAAAGTTGCATAACTGAGTTATTGAGAAATAACTACTGATGGAGCCAAACATTCCTTTAGCACCTGTGCTAACTACTGGGGCAGAAGACTTTAAGTACTATTGAAGTTGAGATGTGACTAGCTGAACAGTGCTACTCAGCAGTTATCAGCACACTGACAAAGAAACAAAAGAAGACCTTTGTCCTTCTCCACAGCACTATTGAGAACACACAAATTGACCATATAAAGGTAAGGGATCTGAAGTTATCAGGTGTTGCCCATAGGACTTCATTGAGGTAGGTCCTTCTACCTCAAACTATAAAGGACTCTCAAATTATAGGAATAGGATGATTTAATGGGTAAATAAGTAAAACAAAGATATTTTTGAAATGTTGTGAAACTTTTATCTAAGTCAGCTGATGCAAGGCCAGACTCTGTTTTTGGAGAGATGCTTTGCCAAGTGGCAGGTTTCCTGCTGTACCTCTTCCTAAGAATGTGTAATGCTGTGGTGAAGTCCCCATCCAAGAGGCTTTGTCCAGGATCCCTGTGGGACAGTTTGTACAAGCTTTCAGACCTGCAGAGCTCTGTGCATTGTTGGCACCTCTCTCCTAACAATAGATCAGGCTCTGGATCCTGTATAACTGGCTTCCTCATGCAGTGTATTTTTCTATTGAAGTTTCAAAATTAAACATGGCTCAAGAGTACAGTTCCTGCCAAAGTTCATCAATGTCATTTTCTGCTTGCAGAAAAAAGCTATTTTGAGGAGGTTTTTCTTGGAGCGTCAGCGCACAGCTGTTGCTGATGTATAAAGCATGAAATACGTAGACTCTAACCACGATCAAACTACAGAGAGAGAAAGAAAACCACTGAATCCAAGACTTTTCCTTTCAATAAATCAAGAGGAATGTTTTAAACATACTTGTGATTATAGATATATTCAAGGCACTCTGTACAAGAGAGATAAGTTCAGATTTGGGGTTTTTTTTTTTTCTCCTTTTTTGTGTGTTCTGTTTTAAAGAAAGGAGGCAAATATCACCTAAGTGGAAGGGTATTTTCACACAAAGATGTCTTCTATACAACAATATAAAAAAAAAAAATAGTTGACAGATAATTCAAAGAAAACAATGCCACCATACTCACACACACACACACACACACATATTTATGTGCTTGGCTAGCAATCATTAGCATGTGACAGTACATAACACTCTCTGACCATCTGGTAAAGAAAATCTGGTGTTTGATTACTCAGCTGTTTTCTCTCTCCACTCTATTACATAGAATGGAATCTTTTACTTGATAAACAACCCAAATAAAAAAGAAATAAGAAGCAGAAATGAAGAGAGATGGGGAGTATCTGGAGAGTTATTAGGGTTTGTGATCTTTATCACTTTTAATATTATTTAAGAGACGGAGACAATTTTTGTGATATTTTGAAGATTTAGATTTTATTTCCTTGGTTAAAATTCTTGGAGAAATTGAACCTTGTCTCATATGGAAGGCATAAATGATAATTTAGTACAGATTTTATATATTTATCTTGACATAATTATATAAATGTGTTCAATTAAATGAACAAATACATAGTGTGAGTTAGCAAATTTTAGAATTAATTTACTCATATATTAAATTCATTCATTAATAGTCTTGTGTACCTATAACATATTCCAGACTACATTAGAAATTGATATTTCAAAGATAATAATTTGACTACTAAACTCAAGGAGTTCATAATTTATAACAACAAAGATCCCAAATAAACAACTTAACATTGTACCTCAAGAAATTGGAGCAAGAAGAACAAACTAGATTCGATGTTTGTAAATGAAAGGAACTAATAAAGGCCAGAGCAGAAATAAATGCAATAGAGATGAAAAAGAAAAACAATGAAACCAATAATTAATTTTTAAAAAGATAAACAAAACTGACCAACCTGCAGCTAAATAAAGGAAGAAAGAAAGAGGGATTAATTTGAATACATAAAGTACTAGAAATACAAAGGACCCTAAGAGATTACTATCAACAATTACATCACAACAGATCAGCTAACCTAGAAGAAATTAATAGGGCCTTAGACACATATAACCTATCAAGATCGAGTCACAAAGAAATGGAAAACCTAAACAGATCAATAACAAGAAAAGAGATTGAGTTAATAATTTAAAAGTCTCCTGTCAATGAAAAGTCTAGCACTAGATGGCTTCACAGTTCAATTCTACCAAATATTTCAAGAATTAGTAAGGATTTTTCTCAAATGCTTACAAAAACTTGAATAAAATGAAACATGTTCAAAACATTTTATGAGGCCAGCATTACTCTGATACCAAAGCCAGACAGGACACTACAAGAATTCAGGTGAATATTCCTGATGTATATAGATGCTACAGTTCTCAATGAAATGCTGGCAAACCAAATTCAACAACACATATCAAAGGGATCATTCACCCAAATCAAGAAGAGTCTATCCTAGGAATGCAAGGATAGTTCTGCATATGAAAATCTATAAATGTAACACACCACATTAAGAGAATGAAGGGCAAAATCAGGTAAATATCTAAACAGAGACAGAGAAAATGTTCAACAAAATCCAGCATCTTTCATGATAAAAATGTTCAACAAATGCTCTTCAAAACAATAAAAGGCCACATATGACAAACCCACTAAAACCATACTCAATGATAAATAGTGAAAAGCTTTTCCTCTGAGATCAGGAACAAGACAAGGATGCCTACTCTTGGCATTTCTCTTCAGCATAGTGCTGGAGCAATAAGGGCCACATAAAGGAATAAAAGGTACCCAAATTGGAAAGGAAGAAGTTAAATTGTCCCTCTGTGAAGACAATACACTTCTATATATTGAAAACTCTAAACAATCCACCAAACACTGATAGAATTGCTAAACAACTCAGTACAGTGGCAGAATATAAGATCAACATACAAAACTAAGTAGTATTTCTATACACTAACAATGATCTATCCTAAAACAGATAAGATTAAGAAAACTATCCCACTTATAATAGTTGCAAAAAATAATATAATATTTGAGAATATATTTAACCAAGGCAGTGAAAGACCTATCCACTGCAAACTATAAATCATTGGTGAAATTAATTGAAGAAGACACAAATACAGTCAGATATTGAATAAGGATAACTTGGTGAATCACAGACCACATATAAAACAATGGTCCTATAAGATAATAACAAAACTGAAAAATTCCTACCACTTAGGACATTGTAGTTCTTATAACATTATAATGAAACATATTGATTTTGTTTGTAATGATGTCACTGTAAGTAAACCTATAGTACATACAATTAGGTACAGTGCATAGTACCTGAAAATAAATGACTATGTTATCAGTTTATGTATTCTTGTTACTATACTTTTATCCTTATTTTGGAATTTATGCTCAGAAAAGATTTTTACTGTAAAATACTATGTTAAGTTAGGCCATCACCAACTTTATACATCTCATGTTTACTTTGTCTCTTGATCATATCAAGAGGCCATACTGAGCATTTGATCTAAACCATCTAGTTTCACTAAGTATACTCTACGGTGTTCAAAGAATGGTGAAATTGACTAAAACTCATTTCTTAGAATAAATCTCTATTGTTAGGTGACACATGACTATAAAAAGAAAGTTGTCCCATATTTATGAACTAAAAGAATTAATA